AGTTTTCTTGGACTATGTACTTATTACCGGAGGTTTATTAAGAAGTTTGCAGATATCGCTAAACCATTAACGCAACTTACAGAGGAAGCAAGAGAATACCGCTGGGATGTAGACTGCCAAAATGTTTTTGAGACCTTAAAAAAACATTTAATCACAGCACCAATTTTAGGGTATCCACTGCCAGAAGGAGAGTTCATCTTAGATACAGATGCAAGTAATATGCGAATTGGAGGAGTGCTGCCTCAGATTCAAGGAAGACAGGAAAGAGTCCTTGGATATTTTAGTAAAGTTCTCTCAAAACCTGAGCGGAATTATTGCGTCACGAGCAGAGAACTTCTGGCAGTAGTAAAATCAGTAGAGCACTTCTATCAATACCTCTATGGAAGAAAGTTTTTAATCCGAACCGACTAAGCCGCCCTTAAGTGGTTGATGCAGTTTAAGAATCCAGAGGGTCAGATAGCCAGGTGGATCGAACGACTCCAAGAATACGATTTTAAGATTGAGCACCGGGCCGGAGTTAGCCACCGAAACGCTGATTCTCGTTCCAGAAGGCCATGCCCAGCAGAGTGTTCCCAATGCAACAAAACGGAATCCAAGGAAGCAGCAGTGCTAAGAACGACGGTGATCAATGACGACTGGACGCCTACCAAGATCAGGGAAGAACAAGAGAGAGATCCAGTTATACAGAAAATCCGAAAATGGAAAGAGGAACACCGTCGACCACCTTGGCAAGGAATATCGAACCTAAGCTCAGTAGTTAAGACGTATTGGGCCCAGTGGGACTCATTTATCATGAAAGATGGCTTGCTCAAACGAGTCCTGGAAAATGATGACGGTTCAGAGAAGAGAAGACAGTTGGTGATCCCAAAGAGCAGAACAGCCGAAGTACTTCGTCAGTTACACGACAGTCCATCAGGAGGGCATTTTGGTGTAAAGAAGACCCTTCAGCGAATTCGGGAACGGTTTTATTGGATGAACAGTTCCGACGATGTAAAAGACTGGTGTAAGAAATGTACTATTTGTGCTACGAGTAACGGGCCTTATCGAAAAAGGGGAGCTCCTATGAGACAATATAATGTTGGAAGCCCGTTTGAAAGAATAGCTTTGGACATTGCTGGGCCATTTCCAGAAAGTGATAATGGAGGCAAGTACATGTTGGTAGTAATGGATTACTTCACTAAGTGGGTCGAGAATTACGCACTTCCAGACCAGAAGGCGGCCACCGTTGCAGATAAGTTGATCCAAGAATATATCAGCCGATTTGGAGTGCCTTTGGAGATCCATAGTGACCAAGGCAGAAACTTCGAAAGCGATCTATTCCAAGGGATATGTGATAGACTAGGTATGAAGAAAACAAGAACTACGGCTTATCATCCGTAATTAGATGGTATGGTAGAACGAATGAATAGGACAGTTGGCAAGTATTTGACAAAGATGGTGTCCGATCATCAGCGAGACTGGGACCAATATCTTCCATTCTTCACAATGGCCTACAGATCTGTTGTTAACGAATCCAGGCAGGCCAGACACCAGCCAGAGTCCTATTCGGACGCGAGATGCGACTACCTTGTGATCTAGAGTTTGGGTGTCGACCTGGAGAAGATGTAGCAGGTGAAGATTATGTGATCGAATTACGAAGAAGAATGGACGATGTACACGAGTTGGTCCGTTCCCATCTCCAGATCGCTAGTGACCGAATGAAGAAACGGTACGATACGCAAGCCGAAAAGGGATGTTTTAAGAAGAACGACAAAGTCTGGCTTTATAATCCCAAAAAGAGAAAAGGATGTTCCCCCAACTTGCAGCAGTTTTGGGAAGGTCCATACCTCATTATGGAAACGATCAATGATGTCATTTACTGAATAAGCAAGATTCCGAGGGGAAAGCCGATGATAGTACATCATAACCGGCTGGCGTCTTTCGAAAGTGACCACGACGTAGATGAAGAAGTGGAAGTAAACCAAGTCCAAGATGTGTCTGACCTCACGTTTGAGGAATTCATGGGTGCCTTGTAGCATTTTCAATTTCATTGATTCTTTGAAGTATATTGAAGTCCCCTCGTATACGAAATATTAAAATCACCTTATATATTTTTGATACATCTAAAAATATTTCGTACGTATTTAAAACCAAATATCTTTTCATTTCTTTCTTAGGTCGGCCAAGTTGAAATAAACTATTTTAGAGTTGTTTATTTATTTTAACTTCCTCGGCAAATTCTTGTTTTATTAAAAGCCGCAATTTTAATGCGTCGCAAAAGGATATGTACGTCGTTTCGTGGTGTCTTGTTATGTCAGCGTTTGTATGTATGCGTTCAATTTTAATAGAATTTCTTGACTCTCGTTGGAACAGCTTTCAAGAGCGGTTCAGCGTTATGTCCAAATTCACGTCGAATTTGTAAAGTATCCTGTTTTCGTCTTTTGTTATGAAGAATATGTAGCAGTTTGTTATTGGTTTTGTGGCAGTAAATGCTTAAATTATTAATGTTTTGAGTGAGGATTGGAGGACATCCTCGTTTTGTTTTTTTTTTGTTCCCGCTTTTATCCAAGGCTTTTGGCAGTTTGGAGATGGAGGTTTTCGTGATGCAGAGAGAGTGGAGCCCTCAGTTCCAGTTATGGTTTCAGAAACTTAAGTGTGATCATGTGAATTAAGGTAACATGTTGTTCAAATTTTAAACTAAAGACAGACATTTTTTTTATAAAATAATAATTGCTTTCGTTGACATTTAAAATTGTAAATTTTAGGTTTTGAGTAAAGCTGTCAATTTGTGTTTAATTTTTTTTTTGAAATTTAATGTTAATTTATGACAGTTCGTTTTAGTATTTTTAATGTTGATTTGTTTTGTTTTTTTTTAAGGTTAACCTCCATGCAATTTTGTAAGTTTTGTAGCAATGGAGTTTGTTAGTGGATGACACATGTAAGTTTTTGATTTTTGTATTTCTCCATGTAACTGTTTGTGGTGACACATAAATAAAAGTTAAATTTTATTTTCTTAACCATTTTATTTATTTTTTTGAGCTAACCCTTTTTGAGTTTATTTGAAAAAGATATGTTTTTTATGTTTTGATTTTGTTTTCTAATTATTTCCCTAGTTACAACTAGTGGTTGTAATAGGCATAATTAGGCACCTCAAGTGGCGCCCTATATTAAATTCCTTGAGGTGTTTCTTGTTTATTTTTATTTTGTTTATCCCAAGAGCCCTTTATTTCATTTTCTTGTAGTTCCCCTATTCCAATGCCCTTATCTTTTACTTATCCACGACCCCAGCTCTCCTACGAAACCCTGAGTGCCGTTCGCATCAGTAGCAATTATTTTGCTTGCCTTATCTCCACCCCTTTAGTTTCTTCAGAGTTGCAGAACTTTGCCAAGTGCCAGCTCCCGGTAAAACCTTGAAACTCCAAGATGCATCACGTTACCTTTTCTACCTGGTAACAAAAGACACTGCCCGTGACCAACCTACCTACCGAGATGTATGGGAAGCCTTACTTCAATTGAGACAGCACGTACTAGAGTTCGACGTGCAAAAGTTAGCCATGCCGAAGTTGAAGTGCCGCCAGTTAGATTGGAGGGTTATCCGAAATATGGTGGAAGAGATCTTTAAAGACACCGAAGTCCAGGTGTTAGTCTGTTGCAATCCGCATAGTTACTGGTGCGGAGAGAAAACCGTCCCCTGTCATTTTTATACAACTGGAAGTTGTAAAAGAGGGTCCAGTTGCCGATATCAGCATGTCGTTCCAGTTCCAGTCCCGACAAGGTTCCAGAAGGAACCATCTTTTAAGAGGGGGGCAATGTTACGATTTTAAATGTTATGGCGTATAGAACTGTAAATATTTTATGACTAATTCTTTTTTATTGATTCTCGTAATTTCTAGGTCAAAAATCTACCTGACACCCTTTGGGTCCCTTCGCTAAAAATGAACAACAATCGAACTTTCTGGGGACGAGCCGATGAGAAACATACCAGTTCTGAGACCAGTCGCTGGTCTGTCTAGTCAAGAATGCCATCGAACCTTCGGCGATGTTCCATTTTAACACCTGATTTCATATAAATAACGGAAGATTTTCATTGAGCAGTTAGTCAACAAGAAGATCGCGATCTCGCGTTAAATTGTACCGAACGCAAATAAATTATTTGTAATTATTAAGTGTAAAATAAATTACTATAAAATAAAGACTTTTGATAAATTATCGTGAGTTTTAATAATTTAGAATAAAGACAATAAATTAGGACTAATAAAAGCATTATATTATCCATAAAATCCACTAGGAAACTAAGTTCCTGTAACTGTCTCTATATCATATATCACAAAAAATTTTATTTCAAATCCTTTATAAAAGGTATATAAAAGTATATAATAAAATGCCCAAACGGGCTATCACAATTGTGATAGCCCGTTTGAGCATTTTATTATATACCTTTTATAAAGGATTTGAAATAAAAAATTTTATCGAATTATATATTATATATTTATTTGAAATAAATAAATAAATAAATATTTATTTTTCGGTTTATTTTTGTTTTCTTTTATATAAAATTATACTTATATGTTTATAAAAACAACTGTTATTATGTTTTCACGATATTGTTTTTTGTAAATTTTTTCTCCACTCTGTAAAGTTAGTTTTTGTTAAATAAGAAAGGAAAATCATTTTTTATTTTGTATATTGTATACTTATTTCGAAACTTAATAAAACATTACAAATAAATGATGTTTTGTGTAATTTTAGAATATATTTTATATTTTTAAGTGTTTTAAAACATTTTTTATAAACCATCGGTATACAGAGTTTTTACACGTTATCGGGAATTATTTCTTCTTGACATTAAACAAAAATAAACCACCAAATAATTTAGTCTTTTTGTTAAGTGCGTCAAAACTTAATTAAATGCAAATTAATTTTGTATTAAAATTTAAATATATTATTTATATCACAAAATATACTGCATTTCTTATAAAGTTGACGTTTATATTGACGAAACAAAAAATAATATACTAAAAATGAAATGGGCGACAATACTCTTAATTTTTTGTTATGTTACAATAACATATACACAAATAAGCGAGACCATCAAACACTATGAAGATATTATAGAAAAAGGTATAAAGGATAGTGCAAACTATAAGTTACCTGTAGATGCAAGTATTTATAAAGCCCGTCCGAAACCGATTAAGGGTAAGCATTTTATTTTGTTTAATTAAAACTGATCTAAAAAGTTATATAAGGTATATATATATATATATATATATATATATATATATATATATATATAATTAATTGTATAATTAATGTATATATATATATATAAGGTTAATGCGAGTTAATAGCATAAAGTTAGAAGGCATCGGCATAGCTCGCAACAAACGAAAAAAATATAATAATATAAACTGGAGTGCAAAACTAAACAAACACTTCTATGTTTGTGATTTTTCCTAAAAGCTGGTGTTTCAAAAAGTTTTAAAATTTCTAATTGAGTATTTAACAAATAAACAAAATTTAATGGTAAAATTTATACAAATTATGAATTTAACAAAGAAAAAAACAAGAAAAAATTCAAATAACTTGAAAACCCCTAATTACTGCGCTCATTGCATCAAGCATACTTAGGGTTAAGCAGCAAATTCTTCATGAGGAATTTACTTCCATTCGTCACAAACTGCACGTCATTGATGATTTGAAACTGAACGCGATATCTGGTTTTGTTGCTCTCAGGTAACATCATATTTATAAGCACCTTAGTCAGTTTCGACTATATATAGCTATTATGTGACAATGATAAATGTAAGCAACAAGTTGTGTTAGTTATATAAAACTGGTCTAATAGTCAATAGAGATATTTGAAAAAAATAATATGAGTACATAGGATACCAATAGAGGTCTACGTGTAAGTGGGTGTGTCAAATATTTTATTGCCAAACGTTTGTTAGGAGAATTCTGAGGTTAGCTTTTTATTTCGTATATAAATAAAGGTTGTTTTAGTGTAATTCTGTGCTTTTTTATGCTGTATACAGTAAGTAATCATATTTATTTGTTGAGCAAAAATCATGTAGCTCTCAGGCAACATTGTCTTCATAAAATGTCTTTTAGTTAAACAGTTCTTTACATATGATTAACTAAATTTTGATATCTTCGTTAGTGAAGGTAGTACCAAATAATGTTTCTTGACTGCCAATGTAGCTTCTAGGCAACGAATTCAAAAACCGCTTTCTCCTTGCTCCTCCCGATTTTTTTGTACCACAGGGTGTTATTGAATATTATTATATAAGATTATGTACCCAATAAAATAATTGTACGACATCTATTTTTAATGTTGCCAGATACCGGCTTCAGTCGAATAATATACCAGAATATTCCATACATGCTCTATTAGATTTAAATATGAACTCCTTGGAAGCCGTGATTATAAAGGATTAGGGTGTTATTAAGTGTTATATAAGATTATGTACCAAATAAAATAATTGTACGACATCTATTTTTGGTGTTGCCAGATACCGGCTTCAGTCGAATAATATACCAGAATATTCCATACATGCTCTATTAGATTTAAGTATGAACTCCTTGGAAGCCGTGATTATAAACGAATCTTAATTTCACCCAAGTAATTCCGTGTTATTCTTGCAATGTGTAGACAAGCATTATATTGTATCAAACGAAAGTTTTCTCCAACAAATGCGGCAAATGACACTAAATGATCTTACCAACATTCTTAATACAACTTTCAGCGTCTAAATTGCTTCCTACAATTTTAGCAGTTTCTGTATGAGCCGCTAGAGAAATGCTTGTGCACACCATTATACCATCTTTACCAAATTGAACTCTGACAGTAAATTTATTTTTATTTAGCGTATGGCTACATCACAGGTTCATATAAATATAAATATATAAATATAAATTATATAAATTACAAACAACAGTAAATATAAAAATATTATCCTACAAACAAACATCTAAATTATAAATATATTCGATTGACTCTTTTGTAGCAGCCAGGAAATCTGAAGGGTTGCCATTATAGGATCTAATCGGGCATTCCTCTACCATGTGTTTTACTGTTTGCCTTTCGGCGCCGCAGTCGCAATTTGGTGATTGTATTTTTCCCCATCTAAAAAGTGAGTCGGAACATCTGCCACAGTTCGTCCTTATTCTATTGAGTGTGGTCCAAATTCGTCTCGGTTGGTTGAAGCCCTCAGGTTTGCTTGTAATACATGGCATGTTCCAGTTAGCTGGTGCAGCGTTATTCTCCCATTGTTCTCTCCACCGTTCAGTTACATTAAAGTTTTGATCTACTAGCCTTTTTGCTGTTTGTAGAGGCGGGTGTCTTGAACGGAGCCTATTTATGTCTCTGGCGGAAGTTCCGACATGGGAGCGGAGCTCAGGATCAGTATTGATTTTTCTTAATTCTCTGACAAGGGCATGTTCCCGGCGGATATGTGGTGGGGCTATATGACTCAAAGCTGGTAACCAGTAAGTGGGCGTGGCCTTGATTGTGCCCGATATAGTTCGCATGGCTTGGTTGAGTTGGACATCAACACGGTGAGTATGTGGACTGTTTATCCATACTGGTGCACAGTATTCCGCTACGGGGTATACCAGTCCTAATGCTGTCGATCTAAGTGTGGGTGCTGAGGAGCCCCATGTAGTGCCGCAGAGCTTTTGCAGGATGTTGTTACGAGTTCGGAGTTTTGCAGCAGTCTTAGTAAGATGCTCTTTAAAGTTCAGCGTTCTGTCAAGTGTAACACCTAAGTATTTTGGGTGTTTATTATATTTAAGGAGTCTATCCTCAAAATTGATTTGAGGTTGATAGTTGGCCATTTTGTTGTATAAATGGAAGCAGGACACTTCTGTCTTAGTTGGATTGGGTTGCAATCTCCACTTGCGGGAATAATTCCCTAGGGCATTTAAATCGTTTGTTAGAATGCGTTCAGTGACCTCGAATTCTTTATGACTTGCGGCAAGCGTCCAGTCGTCTGCGTATCCAAACTTTTTTGATGTGGTTTCTGGCATGTCTGCTATGTAGAGGCTGAAAAGCATGGGAGCCAGCACGGATCCTTGTGGAAGTCCATTATTCAGTTTTCTTTGGGTACTAGTCTTGTCTCCCAATATAACTTTAAAGCATCTGTTGGATAGCATGGCGTTAATAACCTCAGTGGTCTTTCTGCATGGAATTATTCGCATTAATTTATATATTGCCCTTGTCGCCACACAGTGTCATAAGCAGCAGATAGATCGATGAAGACAGCGGTTGTTTTTGATTGCTTTTGAAAGTTTGATTCCACATAATTGGTCAGGGCGAGTACCTGGTCTGTGCAGCTGCGGTTTGGCCGAAATCCTGCCTGTTCCACTGGTAAGTGTTGGAATATGGTTTTGCTGATTCTATTATACAACAGTCTTTCGAACAATTTGTACACCATACTTAAGAGTGCGATGGGGCGGTAGTTTTTCGGTGAATTATTACTTTTCCCTGGTTTTAAAATGGCGACGATTTTTGCATTTTTGAGTTGGTGGGGGACGTTTCCCGTTTGAAGTATGTCAGAAAAGAATTCTGCGAGCCATTGCCTAGTGAATCTGCCGCTATGTTTGAGGAACTCAGCGTGAATGGCGTCGAAACCCGGTGCTTTTCCTGTTTTCATTTCATTTAGGGCTTGCGATATTTCTTCATGCGTAAATGGGTTGGAATATTCTGTTGACTGTGCAAGACTAGATTTTATGGTTTTGAGGTCTTTTTTAACTTTAATTGTATGTAAACGATTTTGAGGTGCCCTAGAGGTTGATACTATGTGCGTGGCTATTTGGTCTGGAGTTACTAGGTTGGTTTGGCGAGCGGGTGGGTTGCTACTTCCGAGTTTCCGCAGTAGGGACCAAGCTTGTCGACTTGACTTCTGGAAGTCTAGGTTTTCTACTGTCTGTGTCCATTTTTCACGCCTGGCAGCATCAATACCGTGGAGTAGTTCGTCTGCAATCTCCTGCTTTCCATCTTCGCAATATTCTTCATACAGTTTTTCGCTCTGTTCTGTCCAACCAGGGATATATTCTTTGCGGTATCCTCTAGGGATTGTCGCTTTTGCTGAGGTGATTATTGCTCCTGTGAGTTTCCCATAGTTCTGGCTCTTTGGTGGAATCCATCCTAGGCATTTGTCAAGGTTATTGGTGAAAGCAGACCAGTTAGCTTTCTTGAAGTTCCATCTGGGGCGTGGGAACGATCTTATAATCGGAATGCTGATACCGATCTTGATTAGGACGGGGCGATGTTGACTATGTGGAAAGTCAGACATAACCCTTCGTGATGCTGCTAGCGGTTGGCCTTTGTTGTCAATGGTAACAAAACAGAGATCAGGGTTATATTCTCTCCTCCAGGCCGCAGATCTAAAAGTGCCTCTATCTTTGGCGTCAAATAGAAGGTGGGCACCATGTTCCTCTGCCCATTCCACAAGGATGTGCCATTTCTGTCAGTGTCTGAGTATTTCCACATCTCATGGTGGCTGTTGAAATCACCTACGTATATGGCTGGATGTTCATAGGAATTAAGAACTTGGACAGGCCAGGTAATAGCAGGAGGTTTGTATATGTTAGCTATTATGACATTGCCTATTTTCACAGTTACCTCGTGGATGTTGTTCTCGGTAGAAATGGCGATTAATGCTGCATTTTCTATGTTTGAACGGACATATGTTGCCACTCCGTAAGCTCTATCGTAGGTAGCGCCCAAAAGATCATAGCCGGGGATTTTTCCTCTTGAGCTTAGTTGACCTTCGTTTTCTGTGTGCGTTTCCTGAAGTGCTACTAGGTCAACTTCGTTGTCTTTTAAAAGTCTGTGCAGGATTTGACATTTTGCCCTGCTTATGCCTTCTATGTTAAAATGGCAAACTCGTATACTTGGTCCGAGTTCTTTGGTCAAATGGTCCTGATAAGGTCCGTTTACAAGTGTCATTTCTGGAAATATTTTCTGTGATGATTGAATTGCCAGGAGATTCAAGATTGTCTGGCGCCTTTTGTGCTAGTTCATTTAGCGTTACCCAGGGTGCACGTGTAGTGTTCTACTACGGACGCGAACTAGCTTTACACCCCAGTAAGGTCTGACAGTAAAACAACATTGGTGATAACGTTCACAAGTTTTTCTATAAATCGTAGGCCGCCCATCTGATGAGTATGTGTTGAATCTTGATTCATCCGTGAATAACAAAGTACCTCATTCTTTAACACCCCAATTAAGATGTTTGCATTCTGGATCTTAATCCATATTCAGTTAAGCGTCTTCGAACGGTATAAATAGAAACTGTGTTTCTATGGACATCATTTAATCGTTGAATAAGTACTGGTCGTGATAGTTTGGAATCACGTTACGCTTGTAATCTAAAAAAGTGAACAAATGAACCTGTGGTTCTTCGTGTATCTTGACCTGAGTTGCTGGTGTACTGTTCTGTTTTCCGAAACGTGTTTCTATTGCACCAAACAATGTACTTCGATAAATTTCTAAAACACTTGCGATGTAACGAATGCTTCGCCTATCATCCACTAAACCAACAACTTGTGCTTTTTCTTTTGTTATCATCATTCATTTATTGCAATTTTTGAAAAGGAGAAAACAAACAAAACTAAACGCAAACTTGCAAATACTTAAATATTCTTAAAATAATTTTGTTTAATTAAGACACTATTTCAAGTTAATAACAAAAAGTTTGTGTAGAGCGTTTGTTGTTTGCAAAAATCATCTAAACGGGTTTAAAGAAGAAAAAACGTTATCACTAATAAGGCATAAAATAAAAAAATTAAATAAGTTTTTGTCTAAAAACCAAAAAAATACATAAAAATCTGAGTGTCTGGTTAATTTTGCGATCCAGTGTATGTGTATACGATGGAAGGCAACCGTATATATGTATTTCTGACTATTGATAGCCAAGTTAGAAAATGAACATTTTAACTTGGGAAAGGATCAATACAGGAGCAATGTGACCAATGTTGAGAACGTTTCAAACAACAAAAAAAGGTGAATGTGGGTTAATAGCAAAATAAAGTTACCTACTACCTAACTACGTTACTTTACAATACCTACTAACTTTATTAGACTGTTGTCTCTGTGTTTTTGAGCTGTACGAAATGTGTAATGTGTCTCAATTCAGATTGGAGGAGATCTTTGGAAACCGAAAGTATCGGCATCTTCTGTTTGACTTTAACCGAATCATCGAATAAAGGAGAAAAAATATAGTACCGACAGTTTTTTTTAACGACGGAAGAAAATTTTCAATTTGTGAGAAATCATGTAAATAAAAAACAGTGCTACTATTTGAATACTGAGGTGGAGAATTGGCAGTATAAAAAAGTATCAGTATTTGTAAGTACAAACAAATGACCATTCTTGGGTAGATTCATAGCTAAGGAGAGTTTGATAGAAAAAAAAAGATAGAAATATTTATTAGCACGTTTTGATCGACAGTCCTGTTTTTATAAGCAAAACCAGGAAAGGAGTTTTCGCTAAAGAGCTAATTAAAGTTAATCGTTTTAGTAAAGTACAAAGGCAAATTGTTGAGATGGGACAATTAATTGAATCAACCTTGTTTAGGGAAACATTTATTTCTAAGGGATTTGTTTATTTGTATGAAAATTTTTAAAAGTATTTTATCAATATATTTTAATTGTATTGAACAAAGATGAATTCCTTTATTTATTCTCTTCTACTTCTCTTGTTATAGAACACTATAAAAGGTAAAGGTATTTCTCTACTCAAATTAGAAACTTGAGATAAGAAAACCTATAATTATTAATTTGGCGTCCTTTTATCGCCATTTTTAAAATGACGACCTGTCCGGTCTTTAATATCCGTAATAGCAATAACCGGGATGAACACAAAAGATTTAGATATCGTCAAGGAACTATACTGGCACTAAAAGAAACAGTCACAATGATAAGGTCTACATTAAAAGAATTTATAATAACAAGACGTATGCAATAGTAACTTGTGCTGGCTTCTTACTTGTTTTACATTTTTTTTTAAGTTTAAAGAAGGTTTTAAAACCATAAAATTAGGTATAAAAACCAATATAAATAAAATGTTATAGATTAATTTTGTTTTTAGTTTTAGTTTTACAAGACTGTAAATAAGTTAAAACAACTTTTAGAAGACCGTTAAAAAACGTTACAATATTAATAATATTTACCCTTAGTAATATTTACACGTAGAAAATGCTTCATGTAAGCTTCGTCTTCTAAAATATCCACAGTTGGTCAATGAGTTAATTTATTAGCCATAAAAGGCCATTATTACCCAAGTATTAAGATGAAAGCAAGAATAGAACGTAGGCTTAGAGAAGAGTAAATATTTTTGAAGATATGGGAAAAAGTAAGGATTTGTTTCTGCAAATAAACTAAAATAAGTTGAGTCATTTTACCAGATGCAAAAGCTGTGAGATTTTTTACATAATAATCAGAGGAAAAATGTCGATCAGTAAAAATCAAAATTAAGGACTGAACGTACTTGATAGAAGGCTTGGAAGGACGTAAACAATCACTTTTAGAGACGAAGTCTCCTAAAAACCTGTACAATAACAACCAAATATATCGCCAATTTCAGCGCTAGACTTCATAAGAAGTATAAATTACAATGTTTTTATGATTTGATTACAATTAACAATTAACAAATGTTTCAGCTTTTGGTTCTTACGATTTTATCGTTATTGGTGGAGGTGTTACTGGATCAGTTATTGCAAGCAGACTCTCCGAACGAAAAGATTTTAAGGTTTTAGTACTAGAAGCGGGAAATTTTACTGATAATGGTATTATACAGTTCCCAGGGCTTTCTGAATATAGTATTTCTTCTAGCTATAACTGGGCTTACAAAAGTATTCCACAAACTACTGCATGTCTTGGTAAGTACTAGTAAATTAAAAGAAATTGTCAGATTCGAAAATAATAAATATGTTTATAAATTTATATTTTTCTTTTTGTCTTTTTAGTTCACATTGTCCGTTTGTAGATTTAAACGTTATTCTTCTTACGACTCATGAAGTTTACTTAGCGGTAACATATTCTTTTTTTTCTTCTTCTTCTTCTTCTTATAGTGCCGTGCAACTATAGTACATTTGCGAATTTTCTTAAGGCTAGACGTCTGTCTTTTGCGGCATGCAAAATATAGCCAGTGTTATTTATGCCTGTCCAGTGTTTTATGTTCCGTAGCCACGACATTTTTTTTGCGACCTACCCGTCTCTTGCTTTCAATCTTTCCCTGGATGATTAGTTGAGGGATTGCGTATTTTTTCCTTACAGAGTGTGCCCGAGGTATACAATTTTTCATACCTTCATCAAATTGAGTAGTTCTCTCTCAGTGTTTGCCTTTCTTAAGACTCCTCGTTTCTTACCCTATCTGTCCATGGTACACGAGACATTCGTCGCATCGTCCACATTTCAAAGGCCTTTAACTTATTAACGGAAGGTACTCTTAACGTCCATGTCACAATATGGACCATACACAGCATTTAACCACCCTGTAGCGGACATTGAAGGAAAGATTGCGGTTACATAGTACCGGTTTAAATCTGATAAAAGCTTGTCTTGCTTGTTCAGTACGGCATTTTATTTCTTGTTGAGGAAACCATTGGCCATTCGTCATCATTCCCAAGTATTTAAATGTTTTCACTTGATCGATTGGAGCGTTATCTACTTGCAGTTGTATTCTTAAAAGTGCGTTTTTTCTTATTGCCATGCATTTGGTTTTTCCAGAATTTTTCTTCAAGCCATATATTTTTTCTACGGTGTTTATTTTATTTAACATCAACTGCATGTCATGTTCGTTGTCTGTTATTATCGCAGTGTCGTCGGCATAACAAATGTTATTTATCGGGAACTAGTTTATCTTTATTCCACACTCAGAGCCTTCCAGTGCCTCTGAAAAAAGTTTTCCACATAGAGATTGAAGAGCATAGGAGACAAAATACACCCATGTCGCACCCTCTTAAAATTTTAAATTCTTCTGTGTTGGTTGATTTGTTCAGTCTCACTCGTGCTTTTTGATTCCAATAGAGATTCTGGATAAGTCTTATATCTTTCTCGTAAATGTTAGCATTGTGTAGCATTTTTATCATTGGGTCATGTTTTACGGTGCCAAACGCTTTTTCATAACCGAGGAATGTTATGAATATATTCTTTTGTTGATCCATGCAGTTTTGTATAAGCGGATTCAAGCAGAAAGCTGCTTCACATGTACCGAGTCCGCTCTTGAAACCAAATTGTGTCTCATAACTTAGATCTTCCAGCTTTCCTAACATTTTTGTGTGAAGGATGCGAAGAAACACCGGTTCATTAAACTTATCAGCCTGTGGTCTTTGCATGTTGTCGCTCTTTGTGATTTAGGGATCATTATAAAGGTTAAATAAAGCCAATCCGTTTTAATTTTTTTTATCTCAAAATAAAAAATAGTGTGTCTTATTATTTAAATGAAATTAGTCTGTTTGTTTGTATATTAGTTCTATAATTTAGAGTTTTTGATTCTTATACTAGCTACTTTGCCGTCGCATGCTACGGTGGTTATGATAAATCTATTTTTATCCATAGTGTCCCATGATATCTTGTATGTCGCTATACGTTCATTAATACTGAAGATACTGTGATGTGCCCTTTAATAGTTGCCTTGTTTGTTTTTCTATCTTGAATAAGTATATTCGTTATATCCGCCCCTTTCATTTGATATGTTGCATGTTAGGTTTTAATCAGTTGTTTATTTTGTACTCAATCAGAGGCCTTCTATAAGTCAATAAATCAAAATCTGTCTTATAGTAAATATATTTTTATTTTTAGTGCCTTATGATATCTCGTATGCCTCTATACGTTCATTAATATTGAAGATATATACTGTGAAGTGCTGTTTTGGTAGTTGCCTTGTTTGTTTTTCTATCTAAATATATTTTTTCTATCCACCCCTTTCATTTGCTAGGTCGCATGTTAGAATTTGATGAGTTGATTATTTTGTATTTAGCCAGAGGTCTGTTTTAAGTCAACAAATCAAAATTTGTCTTAGGGTAAATCTATTTGTATTCAAAGTGTCCTATGATATTTCGTATGGCGCTATAAGTTCATTAATAATGAAAATACCGTATAGTACTTTTTTGGTAGTCCTTTTTTCTTTTTTTCTTACTTAATATATGCGTTATTTCCTCCTCTTTCATTTACTATGTCGCTTGTTAGAAATTCGTTCTGTTGTTTATTTTGTACTCACCCAGAGGCATTCTTTAAGTCAATAAATCAAAAATTTGTCTTTAAGTTAAACTGTTTTTATCCATAGTGCCCTATGACATCTCGTATGTACGTATACATTGGTTAATAATGAAGACACTATATACTGTCCTTCTGGTAGTCGCCTTGTTTGTTTTTTTCTATCTTAATATATTCATTACATCCTTCCCTTTGATTTAACGCATCACACGCTCCAATCGAACTAATACCAAAGGAGATATGATGTAATGCCCTCTTGACAATGCCGTAATTTGTGTTTTTTATCTTAACATATTCGCTAACCCCTGTTATTTCCAATGATGTGTCATACGTCATGTTCTGACGAACTTTTCTACCACAACAAAACGCTCAAAAAATGAACAGAATGAACCTTAGCATTTTCTTATGGGATTTTATATGGGAAATAAGCAGAAACGGTATAGTAGCGTTTTTACAGGTGTAGCTTTTACTTAATGTTATTTAATGTTATTTAATTCTGTTTAACTTGATTTAATTTTATTTAATTATATTTTCCTTTATTTAATTTTATTTTTATTTTTTATAATCTTATTTAGTTTTAACTTTATTTTATTTTGGTAAAATGTTGCCAATTGTTAAGCGTCATTTTATTTTTATAGTAAATATATAAGTGTAGGGTCATTGTGGCAACAGTGGGTCACATTTTTTTTAAATCACATAGCTCTGAAATTATATGAGCTATAAAAGTTAAATTTTATTGTTAAAAAGGTAGGTTCCTTGGCTACACATTGGTTAAATTTTTTTTAAACACATTTGCTGGTTTTTGAAAAAAAAATTTATTTAAAAAAAAAGTTTTTGACTCACTGTGTCCTTAGATGGGTATACAGTGGGTCAACCGCGAGGGCACAGTGGATCAGGAGGATATTGGAGTAGAACAAGATAGGAAATTTCTAATATTTTTACTCTTTATTAAAAAAAAATAAATGCTTATTACAAATTATAACCTCCTTAGCTTTTAAATGTAAATTAATTATGTCTTATAAATGTTAACAAAACATAAAATCAACTCAAATAGCGTTCCACATGGCAACTAGCGGATATCGATTTGAGAAAAATCAACATTAAAATAATAGTAAGACTGTTGACGTAAGGTACTTCCTCCCAGACAAGGTTTAGGCAATATACGTTTTACATCGTTCTCGTTAACATATGATACATCAGGATTACTTGGCATGTGAAACTGATATTTGGGATTTGAACGAAGGAAGCTTACATAATATTCAAATTTATCATTACGCTCACGCAAAACTATTCCTACAAAATAAACACTTTTCCGTTTAGTTGCAAAACGAACAAGAACGTAATCTTCTTTCTTTGGAAAGCGAGGCAAGTCATTGAGCAATAACTTTTCCTCGGTTAGTATTTCGATTTTATTTCCAACTTTGTCTTCCACTTCTTCGTCCAGCAGTCGGAGTCTTCATCATGAATAGAAATAGTGTCATCAGTGTCATCTTCTGATTCACTCTGCAATACTTTCCTTACAGCTTTTTTCTTTGGTTCATTTGTTTTGTTTTTCTTTGGTAATTTTTTTTTCTTGACTTCCGATCGTTGCATTCTAATATTTTCCTTCTCCGGTGTATCCGTCGCGATTATGCTCAGGCCAGGTTTTCTTTTTCTTTTGTTTGCCCTTGGCTGAGCTTTGAGGGGCTGCCTGAATTGACTGGGGCTTTTAAAAGCACCTGATGATACCGGTGCATTTTTTGACTTTGAGCAGTGGGGCTTTGGTGAATGTTGCAATTGTTCATTCTCTAGCTCCAAGGGCTGTTGTTGTGAATCACGCTCAGGCTCTAAGTGGGCTTGGAGAAAAGTTGGAGAGTCTATTAATGTGTCAGAGAGTGTTTCATTTTCCAAAACCAAAGTACTGTTCTGCTATTTTCTATGGTATCTTGCAAAGAAACGTCAAGTCTATTTTGGATGGTATTGGGATTGGGACGATTAGTCACAGTACTGGGTAAAAAGTCTTCGGTAAAAATGTCTCTATCGAAAGGATGGATTCCGGTCTTTTTAAAAGAATTTATAATATTTGTTGGAGTCATGGCCCTGGTGAATGCGATTCCTATCAGCTTAACTAAATCGCAGATCGTCACAGGTTTCCCTGGATTTTTAAGCATCCAAGATTCCATAGCGGCGTTATAATAAGTTTTAAATGGAGAATAAATACCAACGTCTAAAGGCTGCAGCTTTGCTGACGTATGAGGGTATAGTGTCAATATTGTTACACCGTTTTCTTTTGCTAAATCTAAAGCTTCAATGGATAAGTGTGACTCATGGTTGTCCATGATTAACAATGAAGAATTTTCTTTAGAGCTTTAGCTTTAGAGCTACAATAAAATGTTTCATTGTAGTAACAAATAGCTCGCTATTCATCCAACCAGAAGATGTAGCTAACCCTAATGATCCAGATGGAGCACCTTTAAGCATGTGGTCCTTATAGTTTTTTCTGGGAAAAATCAGCACCGGAGGCAAAGCTTGACCACTTGCGCTAATGAAGCAGCAAGTTGTTACAAGAGTGCCTTTCTCGCCGCTTGTCACTTTTCCAATATTCTTATCTTTAGGACCAATTACTTTTTGAGGTTTTTGTACCGTGGTTGTTGCCATCTCATCCAGATTGTACACTCTAGTACCATCAGCAAATGAAGAACATCTTTTGTATACTTCTTGTAGATTATCGAAAAAGACTTTTACAGTATCCTTGTTGAACGCAGTTGCTCTAGCAAGACTGCAAGCTTCTGGTTTGCGTAAAGATAGTTCATTATGACGCTTGCGAAAAGATTTTAACCAATCAATACCTGCCATCTGATTTGAAATCCATGACTGTGGCATTTTTAATTTATTTATAACTGCCATTTCATATGCAACTTTTCTACAATCTTTTGTTGTTAAGCCGTAAAACATAAGAGCGCAATTATTGTAATATTCGGTAAGTGCTTGTTCTTGCTCATCCGTAAAAACTTTATTAATATCATAACGCGGCATAAGTTGCACATTTTCAATAATTGTTGATGCTTTAGCTTTAACTGCATAACGCTGTAGTGTTGAAAATGGAATATCCTTTTCCTTTGCTACAACATGTATCTTTTTTCCCGATGCAATTTCTAGAAGAGCATCTTTCATGTTTTCTTTGGTATGGGTACCTATTTTCCTGCATAACGGGCGTTTCTTTGGCATTCTGTAAAATAAAAATATAATTATAGTTACCAATTTAGTAGCAGTGAGCACAGTGGGTCGATCCATTGTACCCACTTTAGAGATGACCCACTGTATACCACTGTCGCCATTTTAATTTTAGGACGCAATAACAAATGTTTACCACTGTGTGATAATCCTTAATGTAACGTCAAATGAGGCCTTAATAACTACTTACTACATTAAAATTATAACTCAGAGAATAGGATTAATAGATACGGAATAAGAAAAGATCAAAACTTACGTATTTTTTTTACTTTTTCACTACCAACTCACCAACTGTTCTCTGTTACTTACACTACACTTCAGAGCGGCGCACTGACCGTCGTGGAATGGCTGATAGCCGAGGTCGAATCTACTATGAAAGAGACGCAACTATTGCTTTATTCTTTCTACCCAATAGGGCGTTGACTCAGTGTGCCCACTTGACCCACTGTTGCCACAATCACCCTATATTTATATACACATACAATAAATATATATTATACGTCATTGCTCTGAGCTTACAATTACAATAACCTATATTTTTAACAATTTTGAGAAAAAATTTTAATTACTTTGAAGTAGTAAAATGTGTAGAATGGATTAGTAATAAATCAACCGTATCATTTCAAGAACAAAATATGATTATAATGTCGAACGCTGTTAGTTTAGATTTCTTTCTAGGTGGCGTAGTTACCTTACTGGACAAACGGTGTGACTTATCATCATAGCTTTGTATATAGATAGATATTCCTGATTTTTAAAGTCAGTAATACTTTTACATAAAGATATCTGCAGAAATGTGCAAACTATTTTCTTTTATTATTTTAGGACTAGAGAATAAAATATGTGATATTCCAAGAGGGAGAGGAATTGGTGGTACGTCTTTGATAAATGGATTGGTATCGAGTAGAGGCAATCCTGATGACTACAACACTTGGGCAAAAATATTAAACGATAATTCCTGGAATTACTCAAAGGTTCTACCATATTTTAAAAAGTCGGAAAATTTTCACTGGACAAATAAAAAAGCACCAGTGGATTTTAAGTATCATGGAACGAACGGTTTGTTAAATGTGCAGTATAAAGTACCAAACGTTATATACAATGACATTTTTTTTGATGCCAACAAAGAATTAGGCTCGCATATAATTGACTATAACAGTAATCGACAAGAAGGTACTTCCATTTTCCAACTTTTTAACAAAAATGGCAAAAGACAGGATATAGGTACGGCCTTTATAATACCGTTTCTAAATAGAACAAATCTTAAAGTTTTAACCCAAAGTTATGTGATTAAAATAGAAATTAGTAAAAGAACTAAAATCGCGAAAAGTGTTTTGTTCACAAAAGGTGGTTATACTTACAGAGTAAAAGCAAAAAAGGAGGTAATACTTTCTGCAGGTGCTATTGCAAGTCCACAAATATTAATGCTGTCTGGAGTTGGTCCCAAAAAACACCTCAAAGATATTAAAATACCTTTGATTAAAAATTTAGAAGTTGGAACTAGACTTAGAGATCATCTATATATAAAATTACTATTTTCAGGAAATATAACTCTTCCAAAACAGAATATAAAAGAACAATTGCAAGACTATCTAAAAGGTAGTGGTACCCTTACTGCAGTAACATACACCCAGGCTGTAGCTTTTCATGAAACTAAAAACAGGACTAGGAAAGGTATACCTAACGTGGAAATTTTTATGGATGTAAGTCATAAACCATCACCTGTAAAAAATGTTTCTCTTTTGGAAGACAGTATAAATGAAGTGCTTTGGTCAAATAATACGTTAGGTCTTAGTCTTATTGCAATACATACAGATCCAAAATCTACAGGTACTCTCAGGTTAAAGAGTAGTAGTCCTTTTGATTACCCCCTTATAAATCCAAATCTCTTATCCGATTCTAAAAATAATGATATTGATGAACTATATCAAAGTATTCAGCTCATGTTTAAGCTGTCAGAAACTAAGGCATTTCAGAGTATCAAACTGAAGTACATGAGCAAATCTTTACCAGTTTGTAGCCACTTAAAATATAAATCTAAAGAATATTGGTATTGTTTCTTACGACAAATGACTACGACAGCATTCCACCCAATGTCTACATGTCCAATGGGACGTAGTCCAAAACAAGGAGCAGTGGTTGATTCAAATTTGAAAGTTTTTGGAATTAGAAGATTAAGGGTTGCAGATGCCAGTGTTTTTCCTATTTCCACTACAGGCCATCCTTGTGTACCTTGTATTATGATTGGAGAGAAGATTTCCGATTACATAAAATCCCATTATTTTTAAAAAATATTAAATATCTTTTTTGATAGTCTGTAAAATTAATACGAATATTCTATTACAATAATTTCCAACAATAAACAATAAACAACAATATGTATTGTTTCAAATGTTATTGTTTTATTTCACTTCCCCTTGAATTAGAAATGTCTTGATTTCTTTATAACCTAAGGAATTAATACCTTAGATATTAATACTAATTCACATAATATACACTGTATTCGTAAAATATGGAAACAATTTATTATTTTCTAATTTTCAATTTGTAATGAACGTGAATTTCGTGACTTCCTCGGATAGGACCTTTCATTCAACAAACTGCTTTGCTTATTTAGTAGAATTTTCAAGTTATACATATACCAAGAAGACTCAAAAAGTATGATATTTTCGGTTTATTGAACATAACGGACACTTATCACTTCAATCTACCATATTTATTTGGCTTGCCATTTGGTCTTAGCCCTGCATGTCATTGTCTAGTGCCTTCTTGAGAATATCCCACTGTCACCACATGAACCAAGTCTCTAAAGACGACCTCAATCTCTAAAATTTAGTAAATCCTGAGATAGGTATTTCGTTGAACAATTAATAAGATCTAATAATACTTGGATCTTCACTATTAAAAAACATTATTAATAATTATTTGATGTTCTTTATTTTCATGCGGGACTATGAGTAAACAAACTAGATTATGTATTTGTGAGGTCGGCTCCCAGCTATCTCGCTATCTCTTAAAGGGTCTTCTTGACGGTCTTAAATCTCTTTTTATTCGGACTACTCCTTTACTATACATTCGTATTAATGCTGGTTCCATTCACTTCTTCTTTGTCCTCCCTTTTATACATTATCCTGTATTTTATGGAGATCTAGTATTGTGTTAAATAGTATTGTTCTGAAGCTATTTTCTTGTGGCATTTTAAATTAATTACTATTTAACTGGGAATAAGCCACAATTAAAGATAAAAATACGTTTATTGACGTTTCAATTTCCACTTCGGAAATCGTTCTCAAAATACAAACAGTAAATTAAACAAAATTTGTTTTTTGTTAAATAGTGAAAAATTCATCTAATAATTTAATTTTATCTGACTCATTTATATTGACAATTCAGACATACATTATGCATTTTAAAGTAGACGACTTTAAAGTGATATTGCCAATATTGTTGAGTTGCGCTCCTGGGACGACTTTACTTATAAGATAGTTCATTCGATTACATGAAATCAACTTTAACTTAAGAATCTCTGTCAGAAAAAAATCATAGCATGTAATTCGTCTTTAAACAGGCAAATACATGACATGATGACAGTAAAATTCTCCTGTTATTGATTCCATAGTAAATTATGAGGGAAAAACCAGGAAAAAACCTCATAATACTATCCCGACATGGTAAGTATTTGTTCGTGCATTTAGTTTACCTTCAATAAACACCAAAATTCTGATTTTATATGTTTCGTTATTTAAAACAGATAAATGATGTATCCTCTATATGTTACTGACTTACTAATACTGGTATTTTCATATTAATAACTTCCTCTTTCAATATTGGTAACCGAATTTGCGACATTTCCAAAGTGGAAATTGAAACGTCAATAAACGTATTTTTATCTTTAATTGTGGGTTATTCCCAGTTAAACAGTAATTGTGTTAAATAGTGTTATATATTTATTAATTGTAATTTATTGTTTTTATTATTTATCAAAGGTTCTATATTTATAACACTTACAACTTAATTTAAAGTTTATTTACCTATACGAATTTATCTTACAGTAATAACTACATAATTTATTTTAATAAGAGCGTTACATTTTAAAATACCCGTAGCGATCTTCTTTTCTGACTGCCTGTTTTCTAAAAAAAGGTCCCGTTATATACCCATACAGCTGTTAACTAGAATGTCTCGTAGGATGTCGACCCTTGGCGAAAATACTGGAAGTTTACGGGCTGGTTTTTCATTTAACTTATTTCCGGAACGTTCGAATATACCGGTTTTTCTTTATTTATCGAATATATCGATTTTTTTGCACCTGAGTGTAGGTACACAATCCACAAGCGTAATGTAGACGTACTCGTGGAAGAATAGTGCAACCCTGTCATGGTAGGTGTTATCTTCATGTTCGATCTTAGTAGCTAATTATGTGAGGTGAGCACAACCAATTAAAAGAAAAGGATGGCTCAACTCTGAGTACTAAGTATACTCGGTATAGTGCTCATAATTTGTCACCAAATACGGCTACTCTTGCTCAGTTTAGGGCAATGCAGTTGACCGGGATATGGCACGTGAAGCCATAAATGAGAGTTAGGTATCTGCAAGTAAGTTGCAGATATAGCTGAACATTCAAGTACCTCTTAACACAAAAAACTAATTACAAAAGAGACTCAAGAGCTAAGTCGATCGGAAAACCACAATCATATACGTAGGTATACAGAAAATACACTTACCCCTAAATCTTTTGATCAGACCTGTGTTGTTAGAATCTGCATCGTCTCAACAGTATCTGGTATTGTGTTGAAATTTTGTCCGTGAATCTTGCTTAGCAGTGTTCAGTTGAATACCGAAGAGTAAGGACGTATTCCGCCGAGTGCGATAGCAAAACTTGACCGCCTATAAGAATAATTAAAATCGAGTTATTAAAATTCTAGTTATTAAAATAAACAGTAAAATGGCAGTGGCATACCAAATTCTGGTTTTTACAATGAACAATTTACACACACGGAACACAACTATCAGTGTCTATTGTAGTATCAACAGAAATTGCAGGTAAGTAGCAGGTTCACTATTAACAAATATTCAGGAACATGTACCCAACTCCCAATAATATTCGTCACTAGAGTACACATCCGAACAACCACCAAACCACATATACTGGCAACCGACAAATACGCTCTTCCACGAAAATCACAACAATTTCCACCACAACACCAATCAATTTACTACAACCCAAGCAACCCATCTACCTCAAAAACAAAGATAAAAATTTGAAATTGCACATTCAAAAAATGCGGATATAGAGTCTATCGAAGACGACGATCAAGAAACCTAAAATAAAAACTCATGGCAAGTAGACAAAATCATTATCCAAATTCTCCAAGCTACCTCCAACAAAAATACAAAATCGATACAGTGCATTATCAAATGCCGAGAGCTCTGAACAGAATGAAACAGAAAGACAACCAAAAATACCAAAACCATCTCCAATATTCGTATATGGCGTCAAAAATTTAAAGATATTGTCGATAACTTTGCACAAATTGTGGAGGAAGAGACCCAAAATAGCAGAACTCTGCCAAATGACACTGTCAAGATTACAACATATACAATAGATACCGTAAACTGATATGACATTGACGAGAAGAAGAAATCATTCATCACACTTTCCAAGTAAAGGAATAACGTGCCTACAGGGTTGTAATAAGACATATCCATCACTCTATACCCGCAACAGATATAACAACGGAAGTAGAAAAAGCCGGTCAGAAATTTCGCAATATAACTAACATTCGACCCAGACAAACAAAGAAACCCTTATCTTTATTTTTCATAGACCTTGAACCCAACAGTAACAACAAAGACATATTCAGCCTAGAATTATTCATCAATTAGCCTATATTTGTCCACTGCTGAACGTAGGCCTCCTGTAAAATGTTCCAACTATTTCTATTTTGAGCTTCTTGCATCCAGTTTGTGGTGATGCGCTTGATATCATCCGTCCATCTAGTGGGTGGTCTAGTGGCTTCGATATGCATCTTGCCTTGGACGCCATTCCAGAATCTTTCTGGTCCATCTATCATCCGTTAATCTGGCAACATGTCCGGCCCACATTTAGCCATGGCATAGAATTCTTATGTCAGATAAAAATAGCAGTCGAGGTACCAAATAAGAGAAACTCAATCATCTAATGCACGCGATGTCAAGGATACGGGCATAGTAAAACATATTGCACTAAACCGCAATACTGCATCAAATGTGGAGGACAACATGATATGAGAGATTTAGAAGAGCCTAGAAGCACTCCAGCTAACTGTGCACTATGCAAACAAGATCACCCTGCTAACTATAAGGGCCGTGTAGTAAACAGGGAACTAGTAGAAAACAGACATATGCAGAAAAGAGGAAACCAACAGCCTCAAAGGACAACATTTAATTTAATTTAATTTAATTTAATTAACATTTAAGAGTCCACATGTATGTACTGAAACAAATCAGCTAAATACCACTCTACAAAACCATCAAAGAACATATGCAAACGTAACAGCACATCAAACCAACCACGATTCAGACCCTAAAACTAATATTAAACAACTATTAACATTCCTAAACGAGTTCAAAAACATGTTCTCGCAACTCATGAGTCAAAAAAGTGTGATATTAAACTTACTAACACAAATCATTAACAACCAAAGAAATTCTTAAACATACTTAGAGTTGCCACATGGAACGCTAATGACTTGCTAAATTATAAGCAGGAAGTAATTACTTTCTTGAACCGGAATAAAATTGATGTTCTGCTTATTTCAGAAAAAAATCTAACTACGTTTAATATTCCGCTTTATACCACATATAGCACACCTCATCTCGACGGTACAGCTCATGGCGCCTCGGCGGTAATCATCCGCAGCTGTATATAACATAATATATTGCCGCAATATGCAACAGAAAAAATACAAGCCGCAATCGTTCAAGTAAATGTAACGCCATGGCACTTTAACATATCTGCAATGTATAGCCCACCCCGTCACGCAATCTGCACAGACGAATACAAAGCCTTCTTCCAATAACTTGGCAGCAAATTCCTCAAGTCAAGAAAAGAGCCCAATGAAGTAACATCTTCAGACGCATCAGCCTACTCCCAACCGTAGGCAAAGTTTTTGAAAGATTGCTGCTGCAAAGGATATACGCAGATCATGAGTTCCCAACATTACTTCCAAAGCATCAGTTTGATTTTCGGTAAAATCACTCTACTATCCAAAAAGTCTATCGAATGATAAATGAAATATCAAAAAGT